AGTATTAATGGAAACCTCCATGGCTTTTTCAAGGGAGGTCGTGGCTTGAGGCAGTGTGACCCTCTTTCCCCCTATTTTTTTAACCTGGTTATGGAGGTTCTCAACCTTATGACCAAAAGAAAAATTAGTGAGACGGACATTTTTTCCTATCATCGGAATTGTGAGGAGCTGAAGATCACCCACTTGTGTTTTGCTGATGATCTCCTCATATTCTGCCATGGTGATAGTGACTTTGTCCGTGTCATAAATGATTCCATTGCCGAGTTCTCTGGTGTATCTGGCCTCTTTCCCAATCCGGCCAAGAGTGAGGCTTTCTATTGCAATGTTGGCCTGCTTACTAAGAGTATTATTCAGTTCTCGAAGGGCTCCCTTCTGGTCCGTTACCTTGGGGTCCCCCTTATCACAACCCGCCTCTATCATCAGGATTGTAAAGGTCTTGTGGACAAAGTTAAATCCAAACTTCATGATTGAAAAAACAAGTCCCTTTCGTTTGCCGGTAGATTGCAGCTCACTCTTTCGGTCCTGTCCTCCATGCAAATTTACTGGGCCTCTATCTTTGTGCTTCCTATTTCCATCTCTAAGGAGATTGAGCAGCTTATACGGGGTTTCTTGTGGTGCCATGGTGAGCTCAAAAGAGGGAAAGCGAAGGTCTCCTGGAAGACCGTGTGCCTCCCGAAAACTCAAGGCGGTCTTGGAATTAAGAGCCTTTCCACCTGGAATTGTGCCCTCATGGCCTCCCATACTTGGAGAATCCTTACCATTAAGGATTCTTTATGGGTTAAATGGATCCACTCCTACAGGCTTAAAGAGCGTAACTTTTGGGATGTCCCGATCCGCAGCGATGTTGGTTGGGGCTGGAGGAAGATCCTGGGTATGCGGGATAAGATTAGAGACTGCATTGTCTCCCAGATTGGTAATGGTGCTTCCACGTCTGCCTGGTATGACAACTGGCACCCTGTTGGTCCCCTCTACCGGCATATATCCTCCCGTAATATCATTAATTCTAATCTCCCTCTCTCTGCTCCTGTGAAGGATATCATCTTCCAGGGAATTTGGACTTGCCCTCTCCTGAGGGGCAGTCCCAACTCTTTAATCACAATTCCCCTCTTCCTGTCATCTCCCCTGCTGTCCCTGATAAACTCCTCTGGAGAACCAGGGATGGCCGTCTCACTTCGTTCTCCGCTCATGAGGTCTGGCTCTCCCTCCGTCCCAATGAGCCTGATGTCTCCTGGCATCATATGGTCTGGTTCTCCCAAAATATCCCCAGACATGCTTTTATTCTGTGGGTTGCCCTCAAGCAGCGTCTCAAGACGCATGATAAGCTTCGGTTCTGGGAGGGCCACTCCAACCTGTCTTGTACGTTCTGTCATAACGGGCATGATTCGCATTCTCATTTTTTCTTTGAGTGCCCGTTTCCTAATCAGGATTGGAATGGCCTAAAGCCCAAGCTTAACTTCTCTAGTGTCCCGGATAACTGGGCTGATATTATTGGTATGTTCCAACAAGCCACCAAAGGAAAGACCGTCTGGTCTATTATTCGTAGGTTAGTGCTAGTTGGGACTGTCTACCACCTGTGGTAGGAAAGGAATAATTGAAGAATAAAAGAAGATCGTATATTATGGTGGTGAAGACGATTACCGATGATGTCCGATCCAGGCTCCTAAGCCTGACCCTCAAGCCCTCTCCTAATGTTGTCCGGGCTTGGCTTGCCTGAAACCTCCCTTAGCTGTCTGTCTTCTTGTGCTGTTTTTCTGGTCTTGTGAGCTCCTTTGCTCTCTTGTTTTTCTTGGTGCGGTATTGGATGTGCCTTTTTTAGGCTCATTTTCTTGCTCTTGTGGTTTCCCCCGTTGTTTCTCGGTCTTGGCTTGGCTGGACCGTTCCCTTGTGGTTGGTTTCTTCTCTTCTCTCTCTCTCTTTCTCTCTTTCTCTTTCCCTCTCTCTTTTTCTTTCGTAGAACACCAGCAGATGACATAACAATACAATGTGATTACACAAAGCATACTGGTAAAAGATTGAGATGGATCAGAAGGAAAAACAGACAGAGACGAGAGCAGAAGGCGACGGTGCAGCCAAAGAAGCCGGAGATGTTGACGGAAGGAAGCGAAGCACTCCTGGTTGTTTAGAGTAAACTACAAATTTGGCCCTATTGTTTTTCAAAAATAACATTTTCCATCCCTGCAGTTTGAAATTACAAGATGGCCATGGTGGTACGTAAAAACGTCCAGATTTGGTCATTTTCCTAACGGCCGTTAAATGATGGGCATTTTCATCCTTTATCAATTTCTTTGTTTTTTACCCAGTCAAAAACCACAAGGATTAAAATCGATTTTGATTGGGTAAAAGAAAATAAATAAATAAAATGCTTCTTATTTAACGGAATTTTTTAAGGACCTCTAGAGAAAATGATCAAATTCGAACATTTTTACAAACCATGATGACCATCTTATAATTTCATAATCAGGAACATAAATTGTTACTTTTGATAAACCATAAGGTGAACACAACTTAAACAATCTAAATAAATTCTTTAGTGAGTGTTGACAAGGTTCACATGTACAAGTAATAAGCTTAAGTTTAGTTGATGTTCAGAATGTGTTATCAGGTTGTACAATATCTTATAAATTCATAGTGTGTGTACAAACTATAATAGCATTTATAAGAAAGTTTTCACAATGTATGCAGATTCAATTATGTATATTACCCATTAAAGATGAGAGATGAGAGGGGTTTTTTAAATCCCCAAATTGCCTTTATTATTCAATTGAAGCTGATTTTCCAAATATATTAGATTTTATTTTTTAACCAAACGGATGATAATTAAATTGGTGCCATTAGGTAGGGTTGGATCCAATACCTCACAGATTACAAAGTTCTCAAAACAAGACCCAACTTAGGGGCTGTTTGTTTACGTCTGAATGATACCATTAAGACTTTAAGGTCTGATTCGGTCAGACATTTTATTGTTTGGGTAGGTTTTTAAAAAGGTCTGAATGAAAACTTTACATCTGATTYGCTCCTTCACCCTCTAGCCCTCCATACGATTCAGATGTCATATTTTTCCAGGTTTACCCTCCCTTTTTTCTCTAATCGTCGTTCTATTCTTCTTCATCAGTCCATATGACGCTTGTTCTTCTTCATCTGTAGGAATCGCCAGCAACCCTCGTCGTTCTCTTCTTCTTCATCAGTCACCAGTCTCGCTTGGTCACCAATTGATCACAGGTAAGACCTCTCTCTACATTGTTGCTTATGGGTATAAACCCTTCTTATGTGGTTAACAAACAGCCCCTATTTTGATCTGTGTGTTTTTCAAGATTGTGAACCTTGTGACTAGGGCATTTATGGTTCTTGTGGTTAACAAACAGCCCCTATAGCTGTGTTTGGCCCTGTTTTTCAACAGATTTTTGGCCACTGTGTTTGGCCCTGTTTTTTACATTCAAATAGTAGCCAAAAGACTCCCTGTGTTCTTAAGTTAAAAGTCAAAATGAAAAATGTTTTTGGTTCCTGTATGCTTCAAAGAAACAGCAAACAGAAAGCACACAATGGAACATGGGTTTGCTCCCTGCCTCCCTGTATTCTTCATAGAAACCAGCAAACAAAAGCAAAGGGTTTTACCGGGTTTTGACCGGGGTTTTACCGGGTTTTGACCGGGGATTGTTAGAGATTGACCGGGGACGGGATAATAATCCCTGTACCCGCCGGGGACCGGGGCCGGGGGACGTTACTACAAACCGAGGTCGGGGATTACAAAACCCGCCCCATCCCCGCCCCGTTGCCATGCCTATACTCAATGGATGGTGAACAGTTCTATGCTAATTGAAATATGCTTGGGTTTTATAGGGTCTTGAGTTTCATTTTTGTGTTGATCAACTTGAACCATTGTATATTGGTTCTCTAATTACAGTTGGATAATGCATTATTCATTAGTAGTTGTAATATGATCAAGGTTAAAAGGGGCTTTGTTGTGTTTAAATGGATAATGCATTATTTATTAGAAGTATCTAGTTTGTGCTATGAATCACAGGTACATCGTCACTACTTGGTATGGAATGCCCTTTACAAGTCAAGTATACTTGGTTTGTAACTTAACATAATTTTCCCACCTGTAACTTCCCCATGATGGAGGCAAGGAAGAAGAGATAAATGCAACACCTTGGGGTAAAATGGTAATTTTCCCACCTGTTGTCAAACGTTAATTTTCATTAAACACAAGACTGGGGGTAAAATGGTAATTTTATGTCATTCAGACTGTTCATTCAGAACAGTTTCCAAACAACCTTTTTCTATCTGACACTAAATCATACAGAGTCTCTTAATCATCCTGACCACTTAATCATCCTGCACTAAACCATTCAGCAACCGTCAAACAGCCCCTTAATCTATACCGTTTGTCATCCACACAAACGGTTGAGATTGATTTATATGGTTTATAACAATTGTACGGTTTGTATTTTAGACTCCCTTTGCATATATGTGTATAATAGTTTTTACTCTATGTTTGTAACAAAAAAAAAAAAAAATCATAGCCACTAAAATATTTTATAGTCATAGTCATTAAAAATATATTATAGAATGATGATTATATCAATCGTAATAAATAAATAAAAAAACCCATTTTCTATCAAAATATATTAATATGAGTATAAGGAGATAATTTATTTTAAAATTAAAAATAAATTATAGAATGATAATTTCACCATAAGTGTTTGGGGGTTTCATTTCATTACACCTACACCCTAACAACACTTTCACATTTTTACTCTAATTCCTTTTTTATTTTAAAAGAATAAATAAAGTATTTTTAGAAAAGTGAACATTCGGGGGTTTCATTACCAAACCGTTAGATTAGATCCGCATACGTGTACAGTTTTGGCCACCACATTCCACATATCATATACATATATATATATATGTGCCACCACATTTCAACTCTCCTATCGATCGACAGCGGCAGCGGCAGCGGCAGCCACCACGCTTACCAAACCCTTCCATTCCAAATACGAATGGCCTTCTCATCCGCAACCCCACTTCACAGAATCACCGCCATTTCTTCTTCTTCTTCTTCTTCTTCACCGTTTTTCAAACCTTACCCTTCCCAACTATCCCTTCAATTCAACAAGATTGCCTCCTGCTCACCCAAGTCCTTTGCCCTCGCTAACCACCAAATGGGGCTGGACAAGGCTCCCGTTCTTCATGATCTCTCCATCCTCCAGCGCCCTGATTCTCTCGGCCGTTTTGGTAAGTATGGCGGCAAGTATGTTCCTGAAACCCTAATGTATGCTCTCTCCGAGCTTGAATCCGCTTTTAAAGCCCTCGCCACCGACCATCAATTCCAGGTTATTCACTTTCTCTTAATTCATCTCTTCTCCTTTCACTTCATCTTTTCATATCGTCCGATTCATCTTTATGATTTTAGCTTCTCATGTTTATTCACCCAAACTATCACCACTTAAATGCTACGTTTTTACACTAGCACTTATTCATTCGTATTTTACTTACCTACTAGTAGAATATTTAGAAACTTTTGGGCAATATTACTGGAGCTGAAAATTGTGCTACCTACCTATGAAACCTCTTCCTTTTTGTTTGGTTTGTGGCATGTTATTTTGTGCTAAATTATGGAGGAAAAAAATGATGCAAGTGCAGAAGGAATTGGATGGGATATTGAAGGACTATGTTGGTAGGGAAAGCCCTCTTTATTTTGCACAACGGCTTACAGAGCATTATAAACGTCCCAACGGTGAAGGACCTGAAATCTATCTTAAGAGAGAAGATCTTAACCATACTGGTGCCCATAAGATCAACAATGCTGTTGCACAAGCCCTGCTGGCCAAGAAGTTAGGGAAAGAACGAATCATTGCCGAAACTGGTGCTGGACAGCATGGAGTTGCAACCGCCACTGTATGTGCACGCTTTGGATTGCAATGCATCATCTATATGGGTGCTCAAGATATGGAAAGACAAGCCCTTAATGTATTCAGAATGAAGCTCCTTGGAGCAGAGGTTTGTTTACCCTTCTACTTTTCATCTTCATTCTTGGGTTCAAGAAACTTCTCTTCACTTTCAGAGTTCCATAATCACCGTTTTGAGTAAACAGAGACAAGTCTGTTGCTACTTCGATGTGATATCTTGCTGCAATGTGACCACTCACTGTGATTGTTAAATCATATAGGTTAGAGCTGTTCATTCAGGGACAGCCACACTGAAGGATGCTACATCTGAGGCCATAAGAGACTGGGTGACCAATGTGGAAACAACTCATTACATCTTGGGCTCAGTTGCTGGACCACACCCTTACCCCATGATGGTAAGGGAGTTCCATGCAGTAATTGGTAAAGAAACGAGAAAGCAAGCATTGGAAAAATGGGGTGGAAGACCAGATGTTTTGGTTGCTTGTGTTGGTGGCGGATCAAATGCTATGGGGCTGTTCCATGAGTTCGTTGATGACAAAGATGTTAGAATGATCGGAGTAGAGGCTGCAGGTTTTGGCCTAGACAGTGGAAAGCATGCAGCTACCTTAACAAAGGGAGAGGTTGGGGTGTTACATGGAGCCATGAGCTATTTGTTACAGGATGATGATGGACAAATCATCGAGCCTCATTCTATTAGTGCAGGGTAAACAAAACAAAATTTACTGCTTTAGTCTATGTGATCCCGCTTGCTTTCTTCACCATCTTCTCCTTGATCTCAAATCGTTTGGTTTTGTAGGCTGGACTACCCAGGAGTTGGACCTGAGCACAGCTTTCTAAAAGATACTGGGCGTGCTGAATATTATAGCATTACTGATGAGGAAGCATTGGAAGGTACATGGTCTCTTCTTTCTAGAAGTATGGATTATATGGAGTCTTGTCTCATATTCTTTTAATTGTTTGTTTTCAGCATTTAAGAGACTGTCTAGATTAGAAGGCATAATCCCAGCTTTGGAGACATCTCATGCACTGGCTTATCTAGAGAAACTGTGCCCAACCCTTCCTAATGGCACAAAGGTTGTCCTTAACTGCAGTGGTAGAGGAGACAAGGATGTTCATACTGCCATCAAGCATCTGCAGGTTTAATAGTGTGTGTTTTTGCTGTTCAACCACCAAAAGATTCATGACATTTGTGTCATTATATTGTTTAATCCCATCCTTGATTGGAAGATGAAGGCTTTTTCTTGAAAGTGACAGTACTTGCAATGTTTTCTTATTATGTTCATGCCCTTGCTTCCATTTTGCAAGTCTTGATTGATCTGTTTACTTATCACATGTAGTAAATCACATTCATTCATCTTCTCACAAATATTTCCATGTTGGAATCTTAAAAAAAAAAAACTCAGGGGCTGTTTGTTTGGCTCTTAATGGTTCCATTAAGAGCCAACCTCTTAATCGCTAAGAGGTCAAGGCTGTTTGGGAAAAAAAAAATACTCTGAATGGTTACATTTTACCTCTTAACCATTTTGCATCCAGGGGCTTTCTAAACCATTCAGACTCTTCTTTTTCCATATTTGCCCTCTCCCCCAACATCTCCCCCACCCTCTCGTCGCCTCCTCCCCCCACCTTACGAATACGATCGCCCTCTCCCCCAACCAGAGTGTCGTTCGTCGCCACCGTCGTTCAAAGACCCTCCCGTCGTTCAAAGACCCTCCCCCACCGTCGCCACCGTCGTTCAAAGACCCTCCCCCACCCTCTCGTCGCCGGACTCGCACAGCCCCTTCTATACAGCACGCCCTTCACATCGCCTCCCACCCCCACGATCGTTGGTCTTCGTCTTCCCCCTCCCCGATCATCGCTCTTCCGGTTGCCATCTCCGGTCGCTCTTCCGGTCGCCGTCTCCGGTCTTCCAGCAGCTCGTATTTCCTCGCTTCCTACCGTATTTCCTCGTATTTCCGTCGCCGTCTCCCCTTCAGTCATAAGGTTCCTTTTTCTTTCTTTCTTCTTCTTCATGTGTGGTGAATGATTGTCTTTGATGTAGGCTTGATCTTATTTGCAACTAATTGATGTTCAGACTTTTGGTTGATCATGATTGACCTAATTCACCGCCTTGACTGGGATTTGATAGGACAATTGTAACAGGATTATGGATTATTGATGATATAACTAGGGTTTATAGCTTAGTGATATATGTGCATTGATGATTGCTTATTAGGCAGAGGGACCAGAAGGAGATCTAGATGAAGTTACACACAGGGTTTAT